TCTTGATCAGAATGCCATACTCCTTCTTTGCGGCTTTAACACGGTCAAACCATTCAGTTAAAAGCTTCGGATCTTCGCATTTTGCACGTTGGATATGATATCTTCGAGAGAACTGAGTCTTCAAAGCCGAAGTACGTTTGACAAAATTGTATACCCATTTTTCACCCACAGAGACTGTGGAATTCGAGTTTCGTTTTTGGAGAAGGATTGTTGCCATATTCCGTACGTATGCCGGCCGAGGATGAAGCCCACGCTTTACAAGCGAGAGAATCCAATCTTTTAAAGCCTCTTCTTCAAGAAGAGTCAATTTCATGGAGTTGGCACGTATATCTGACCGTGCTTTGACTCCCTTAAGGCGTCGTTGCAGAGTTGAACGCGGAATATTGAAAACGCTTGCAGCTTCCTTAACAAGCGGAATTTCGCCATTTTGAATAGCCTCAATAGCGAGGCAGATACGGCCCTCTCGTTCCACCAAAGGATTTGATGATTGAGGCATATTTGGTGGAATTGTTGGTGGTTGAATTGCTTCAATTTCAAGAACGCGAAGACGACGCGCGCGGGTGCCCACTCGCTTGCCGTGCCCACTCGCTTACCGATTACGTTAGGGTAGAGAAGGGTATTTATGTCCCTGTTATCTTACATAGGTGATAAGTCACGTGGCACCGGCTGTAGACGAGGATAACCGGGTGTTTCGGAAGTTAGGCAACCCCGCCGCTGTGACTGGCCAACTTGAAACAAGGATCATGCTTGCTATCCAGCTGCCAGCTCAGCAACTAGTTTGGCGCGAGTATCGACCAACGATGTCAGCTTCCCCGTCTTCCTCTGCTCTTCCCCTGTTTCTATAACTCTAACAAATTCAACAAGATTCATTGCAAAACAGTCTTTTCACACACTTATCAAAGATGTCAAGCCCTGGCAATTTTTTCAACCATCTATTTCACCGGCAGAAAAAGACCGAGAAGCCGGCAACCCAATTAAGGCACAAAGAGACCCAAAAGAATCCCATTACCGATACTTTCCAGCCACTCCCTCACAGGCCTGCAGACCAGCTTATTCAGTCAACACAGACCTCGCGGCCCCGAGACTTATGGCAAGCTGCTTATGACCAGCTTGATAAATCGCAGCGGCATGTTTTGTCAATAAACAAGAAGCTGATCAAGCCAGGTACTGAGAATAATATTCTGGGAAACTCAATCGATCAAGTTATCCAAATAACAAAGGAGGAGTATGAAAAGTATCACCAGACAGCAGATGGAAACTTTCACAAGGCTTCACGGAAAATTATTAATGCAGCACTTTCATTTAAAGATATTATAGGTGCAGTGGCTGCACTCGACCCGACGCAGCATGCAGCTAGTGTCTGGAATATTGTCTCACTTGGTCTGACAGTATGGATTTATACTCAATCTAATACAGGCTGTTACTGACACATTCTCTTGCAAATATCTAGATGGCGAAAAGCTACTCCGCATCTCGCGAAGCCTTGTTTGAATCATCGGAGTACCTGGCGGAAATCCTTACCTACGGAGCTTTTATTGAAAAGAACTTCTACGAGAATAGAAACACCGTTACAAGCAGTTGTCCTGTTGAAGAGGCACTAATCAAACTGTATAAAGCTATTTTATGCTATACAGCCCAGATACAGAAAATACATGACGCGAGTATTGGACAGAAGATATTCAACACAGTGACGAATAATCTTCAGAGATCACTCACCATACTTCAGGCTGTGGCCGAGGCTGAGAAGATCAAGTTGAATCAATGGATATCATTGGATCACTACCTTCGCCATGAACAGGATGCAAGTAATATCCTACACAGGATTAATGGATTAGCCGATTCTACAAATCAGCTTCTTGCACAATCTTATCTCGACAAATTAAGTTTCGCGGAAGGAGCATCTTTTGACTCTTTTATAAATCAGCATGAGGATTTTTGTCTTCCAGATACCAGAACAGGTCTTCTTGATGAGGTTTCGATGTGGGCCCGATCAAAAGGTTCATTTATCTTCTGGTTGAATGGAATGGCGGGGACTGGGAAATCTACAATTGCACGGACTGTTGCTCGCTTTTTTCAAGAACAAGGACTACTTGGTGCTACATTCTTTTTCAAGCGAGGCGAAGCCGACCGTGGTAACTCCAAACGTTTCATATCAACTGTTACAAAACAACTAGTGAATGAATATCCAGAACTGAAGAAGGAGGTCCTGCATGCTGTGGAGAATAATCCAGAGATCATGACGAAATCCCTGAATATTCAGTTTGAAAAGCTTTTTTATCAACCACTTACAAAACTGCAACCTCACCCAACTCCAACAATCATAATCGTTGTTGATGCCTTGGACGAATGTGATGGAGAGAGTGATTCGCAACTTATACTTCACCTCTTGTTTAAGATGCAGGATATCAAATCTGTACATCTTCGAGTGTTTCTGACCAGTCGACCTGAATTTCCAATTCGTCATGGCTTCAACAATCACCAGGATTATCGTGATCTGATTCTTCATGAGCTGCCTAAGCCTATGATCGAACATGATATTCGCGTGTTTCTGGAATATAAACTCTCGAAGATACAGCATGATTGCTCTCTTCCGCCGAATTGGCCGGGAAATGATAAGAGAGAAGAGCTAGCGCAAATGGCTGTCCCGTTATTTATCTTTGCGGCCACAGCGTGTCGGTTTATACAAGAAGGGAAACATCCGGATCGGCGGCTCAAAAAGTTCCTCGAATTTAAAGGCACAGGCAAAGGCCAGATGGACACGATCTATTTGCCCATCCTATATAATTTTCTGGGCAATGACAAGGAGGAGTTACAGGACCTTCTCAGAGACTTTCACACTATCGTCGGTGCTATCATTCTTCTTTCTGACCCACTCTCGATTCAGTCTCTAGCCTCTCTTCTGGAACTGGAAACACAATATATCAGCGAAGTATTGCAGTCTTTACATTCGGTCCTCCATATACCAAGCGATCATGAGGCACCAGTTCGCATTTTACACCTTTCATTCCGAGATTACCTCCTGGCTACACGGAGCCGATTTCATATCAATACGCAAAAGACACATGAGAACATAGCATTGCATTGTCTCAGAGTAATGAATGTTCGGCTTGAAGACAATATTTGCAAACTACCAAGTTATGGAACACAGTATAAGGATGTTGAGCCTCAGATTATCGACAAGTATATTACAGCTGATCTGAAATACGCCTGTCGCTACTGGGTTCATCATCTTGAACAGAGCAAAGGTCAGATCATAGACTATAATATTCTCTCTTTTCTTCAGAAGCACTTTCTTCACTGGTTGGAGGTACTAGCTCTGATTGGAGAGATATCAGAAGCAATTGTATCAATAGATATATTAAAGTTGCGAATATGTGTAAGTTTATACTTTGCTGCTTAGAATACTAGCTAATTTTTTTTAGACACAGGTTGGCCCTGAGTTATCAGATTTTTTATATGACGCAGGGAGATTTACTCGTCAAAATAGTTATATGGCAGGAATAGCTCCACTACAGCTCTACCGCGCTGGTCTTATATTTGCACCGACGAACAGCATCATAAAGCAAATATTCTACAGCAAAGTCAAAGATCAACTGGCAGTTAAAATAGCAGTGGAAAGCTCCTGGAGCCCAAGTCTGCAGACATTGGAAGGCCATTCCAGTTTTGTTCACTCGGTGGCCTTCGCGCCGGACGGCCGCACACTGGCGTCGGGCTCGGACGATAATACTGTTAAGCTCTGGGACACAGCTACAGGCATCGAGCGTCGCACGCTGACCGGCCATTCTAATTCGGTGTTCTCAGTAGTCGTCTCACCGGATGGCCGTACACTGGCATCAGGTTCGGGGGATGATACTATCAAGCTTTGGAACACAGCTACAGGTATTGAGCAGCATACACTTACCGGCCATTCCAGTTCAGTTTCTTCTGTAGCCTTCTCACCGGATGGCCGGACGCTGGCGTCAGGCTCACATGATAATACGGTTAAGCTCTGGAACACAGTTGCAGGTGTTGAGCAGCGCACATTAACCGGCCATTCTAATCTAGTTTTCTCGGTAGTCTTCTCACCTAACGGTCGCATACTGGCGTCGGGCTCGTGGGACAATACTATCAAGCTCTGGAATATAGCCACGGGTGTTGAGCAGCATACACTGACCGGCTATTCTGAATTAATATTTTCAGTAGCCTTCTCGCCGGATGGCCGGACGCTGGCGTCAGGCTCGGACGATAACACCGTCAAGCTTTGGGATACGGATACAGGTATTGAGAAGTGCACGCTGACCGGCCATTCTAATTTAATCAGATCAGTAGCCTTCTCACCGAACAGCCGCATGGTGGCATCGGGCTCGGAAGATAATACCGTCAAGCTATGGGATACAGATACGGGCGTTGAGCAAGGCACGCTGACCGGCCATTCTGATTTCATCAGATCGGTAGCCTTCTCGCCGGACGGCTGTATGCTGGTATCAGGCTCAAACGACAGTACTGTCAAGCTCTGGGATATCACTGCAGGTGCTGAGCAACGCACACTGATCGGTCATTCTGATTGGGTCAGATCAATGGCCTTCTCACAAGACGGCTGTATACTAGCGTCGGGCTCGGATGATAATACTGTCAAGCTCTGGGACACGGCCACGGGTGCTGAGCAGCGCACGTTGACCGGCCACTCTAGTCTAGTCTTCTCAGTGGCCTTCTCGCTGGATGGCCGTACACTGGCGTCTGGCTCGGGGGACAATACTATCAAGCTCTGGAATACAGCCACAGGCGTTAAGCAGCACACACTGACCGGCCATTCTAATTTTATCAGATCAGTAGCCTTCTCACCAGACAGCCGAACACTGGCGTCAGGCTCAGACGATAATACTATCAAGATCTGGAATACAGCTACAGGTATCGAGCAGCGCACACTGACCGGCCATTCTAGTTCAGTCTTCTCGGTGGTCTTCTCACCGGATGGCTATATACTAGCGTCAAGCTCAGGGGACAATACTATCAAGCTCTGGAATACAGCCACGGGTATTGAGCAGCGTATACTGACCGGTCATTCTAATTTAATTAGATCAGTAGTCTTCTCGCCGGACAGCCGGATGCTGGCATCGGGCTCGGACGATAATACTGTTAAGCTCTGGAATACAACTGCAGGCGTCGAGCAGCGCACGCTGACCGGCCATTCTAAATTAGTCACCTCAGTGGCCTTCTCGCCGGACGGCCGGACACTGGTGTCGGGCTCGTGGGACGACACTATTAAACTCTGGGACACGGCCACGGGCGTAGAACAGCGCACACTGACCGGCCATTCCAGCTCTGTCAATTCAATGTTGAACCAATCCAGTACCAGTTATTCTATATCTGTCACCGACTCTTGGGTTTTTTTACGAGGTGACAGGGCCTTATGGCTTCCTGCTGAATATCGTCCTTTTCGATGTTTTGCGGTTAAGGATACTGTACTTTCTCTTGGGTTAGCAAATGGGCGTGTCACGATCATAGGGTTTGACATACTATGAAAAACTATTTTCCTACTTTCTTACAGTCTTTAACTTTCAATCACTGTATGAAAGAAGGGCCTGGGGTGTGCAACGTCTGTATCATTATCCTGTCTACAACGGACCGGCTTGTGTTCTCTAGATTATGTGGTAACCACGACCATATTTCCGTGTATATTAGTCTATATGTCTATACATTACTATATTCTATAGTACATGTAATCACATTACACTGTTATGTTGTGAAACATTATTATTACGCGCCGTTCCGAGTCAAGTCTAGTTTTCCTTTCCGGGGCTGCTGAAACAACTGAAGAGTGTAGGTGGTGACACCAGTATCCGGAAGCTCTGTACCCTTCTTGTTATGCTCTGCCACCCACGATCGTAGCTTCCCCCATTCTGATCTCTTCCACTTCGCCCCCATTTGAGTGGCTAATTCCTGTTGGGTAGGCGGTCGGGCTGATTGAGATCCACTTAATGCGAGATCATCCAGGAATGATAGTAATGACTGTGGGAGGGGGGGAAAGGGATCAGAGTCAGCAGACTTTTGTACTGAGGCTCGGCAAGACCCTGAAAAAGGAGTCAGCTTCACCAATGATGAACACGAGAAGAACCTACTAGTTGCTAGTCCCTGAATGAGTCTACGAAAAAGCTGTCAGTGGCTGAAAATTTAACAGCCAGGGATCGAGGGCAGTGCACAGGCCACGGTCACTGCCCCACCAGCTGGCTGTGGCTTCGAGTTCGAGGCATGGAGAGGTGAAACGAGTCTGGGGAATCTGAGAGATAGTGGCATTGAAAAGAGAATAAACAGTTTAAATATGATAGATGAAGCTATTTGATGAATCGATTGATCAAGCCTTTGGAAGTACATCAAGGAATGAGATGGTGTTTTTCTCGTGGTTTAGAAAAGGAAGGAAGAGAAGGACCATCTGGTGACTAAGCATGTTTGCATGGTTTGACTCACACAATCGATGGCTGCATGTCTGAATGCCTTGGTGCCTGAATATCATGCTGCTTTAATGCCTCAATCGGCATTCCACAGGGGAGTCACCGAAAACCCCGTGACGCCATCAGGAAAGGTGAGGCAGATATCATCGTTGTCTGGAGTAAACGTCCCCGCAGGCTCACCGTTGCATGTACTGTCATGGTATGCTGCAATCTCCCATCCCTGGTTGTTGACCGTCTGCGCAGCATAAAAGTAGTATTGCACCCCCACATTGAGATAGTAGCAGTCCTGCGGATCGTTCAGCGAAATATACCCCCCGATTGTGGTACAGTTGTTGTTGGAGCTCGCAGTCTGCAGTTGCACATCAAAGTCCGATGGAACAGGCCACGACGAGTTGGCGGGGATGGAGGTGACGCTGCCCGTCAGGTTGGAGAGCAGATGTCCATCATAGTTGGCAATGTGCTCCTCTACAACCGCCTCGTCAGCATGACACTATCTCTGAAAAGAGCGCAGCACTTACCCAGGTTCAAAGTGGTGTTCTTGTTGATTGTCCCGTAAGGACCCTCGCAGAGGCAATCTAAAGATCCTCCACCGGCGAGAAGCTGACACTCACCGCAGGACTGCGAGTATGCACCACTACACATCTCGTTATTACTCCGATCGAACTCCCAGGTCTGTAAGTCTCACTCAATTTTCCACTGCAGATTGCGAGTTAGCACCATTCAGTTCTCAGTTGAGCAACAAGGGGAAGTGCTTACTCCGAGGGTGCCGCCGGTGTTAGTGATCTTGTTGGGGAGGAAGACACTGCTGGTGATGGTCCCAGTCCCGTCGCTGGTGGGACATGTTCCCACCAACCAGCTCTCCTTGAGGTAGATGTCGATACACTCGTCAGCGTAGCCCTGGCCATACACAGAGGTGCACAAGCCAGCGGTCACAAGCAGGGCAGTGGTGAGTTGCATTATGAAAACTGTGTCAAGTCCGATGGCTTCCAATACGTACTGGTACTCTGTGCCTAGCAAACCATATTTATATGTAGAAAGTTGAGGCTGATAGCTGAAGGCCGGATTCATACTTCGTCAGCATTGAGTAGGATCAGGTCTTTGTCAGAAACTACAAATGCCTCGCTTGACTGCTGAAGGATCCTGCAGGACTCTAGACTCCCCAAAAACGGCTATCACGCCGGGATCAGGGCAAGGAACAGAATTGTCAAAGCTCTGCTAGTGCTGATATCAGCGAAGCTAGCAGGGCTGCAAGCGAACCCCACGTTAGCGGCATAAATATCCACCCACTTTTTGACGACTTGGGTGCTATCAGAGCCTCTCAGTCGCCAAATGCGGTATGTGGTGCGTTTCACAGTGAAGACAACCTACTGTATATTATTGAGTCTTCCTGGTCATGATTAGTCGTAACTTGTGCTGCCTGTTTGGTGCCGCTTTGACTGTAGGCTGCATCCAAACCACATCCTGAAAAACTCGCCGGTTCTGAATCCCATAATCATGGATGTGTAGCTTCTGCAGCGAACAGTGGGGCATACTTCGGAAACTCCGGACTCCGCCGGGTTCTCAAATGCTTGAATTGTGGCCAGTGCTCAAGATCTGAATACTTGAATCAGGAGATATGATGCTCAAGACATTGTTACTCGAAGATGTTGGCTCTTTGTTCAACCAGGCATCTTGCAGATTGACTGCAGACAGACACTGCTACCAGCCTTTCACTGCATGGAACATGCTGTGAACGGCCACTCGCGGTTGGACTTGGATAAGATCATCTTGAAGGATTGAGCTGAAAGGATGCGAAGCGGGGTTATGAGGCGCTAACGGTGATGCTTGACCCAGCGGACTTGTGCTGGTAGCACTAACTCGCCACGGAGGTTAGTCCGGAGTTCTGGCCTATCATCGAGCTAGAAGGAGTAATTAGTCTACACTCTAGGGCTTACTTTCACTTCAAAGTCAGTGAGGGGATGGTGGTATTCATTCATTACCCTATTCACAAGACACAACACATAATTCCTGCTCAATCCTGCACACTAGGAGTGGACCTCATTGTAGATTGCACACGTCGTACGAAGTCGCCGGCTTGTCGAGCACAAGCCTCTGCTTCTTGAAGGGATTTCATGATCCAGCCAATCATGAGGACATTATGAGGCACCTTCTCTTCCACCACAAGCTCGATCTGAGATTCAACTCCGCGAACTTGTGTCAATTCCCTGTCACCAGAGTGAGGCTTGACATGATGCGCGTCTGTCTGTCCTTGTGTTGTCAAATGTTATTTTGATTCAAAAAGTCGATTATTTCATCACTTGGGCCGCCATTCACTTCACCGCCTGTTTCTGCCGGACAGACGGCCTAGCATAGAAGGCGGTGAATATAATCTTACGTACAGGAGCCGTGTCCCAAAAGTCATGGCACTGCGCTAACGTAATCGGACACCGAACCGGCGCGACACCGAACTGGCGGCCGCGCCGGCCCTCATCAAAATCTTCAAGATCCTCACCACCCTTGACCTCCGTGAAGCTTTACAACCATACCAAAAAGGCTACATACATCAATTCTTGGTGTTTTCAACCGGGCACTTCAACCGGTCATGTTGCTTACTCCTATAGTGGGCCCGCCGGCGTGCCTTGGGAGGCCTTGAAGCCGAAGTCTGAATAGTCTCGTTTTTACACGCCTGTGTAATATTAAAGTCTTTTTGGCCCGTTAAAGTGCCTCTGTTCTTAATAAATCGTCGTGAGGTTTTTTTCTTCTCTTGTTTACGTGCCTCCATAGCCTGTAGCTGCTTGAATTGGTGTTGAAGTAAGATTGTTGACTGTATTGACTGTTTTACTGTCTTTATTACTTTTTCAATAATTTTATGTGTAATCATTAATGAAAGGCCTTGATCTGCGAGTTCCTGTAGTTCTTTTCTCTGTTTTCCCAGCTTGTACAGATTACTAGGTGTTTTTCCGAGGTAAAATGACTGATTTGAATGCGAGGAAGCCGGTGGAGTTTATGTTTTTAACTGTATATAAAGCTCTGAAAGGACCTTCTGAGGATTAAATGGAACAAGGCCTGTAGTATGAAAAATACTGAGGATATTGGTTTTAGTAGAGGCCTTGGTATGTATATTGGTATAGTACTGCAAAAAATCAATCTTGGTAATCGAACTCTCGCCGCCGCGAATAGCTTTATAAATCTGCTGACTATATAGCTTTTTTGATGGCCCAAAGCATGTAATATCAAGCGGTTGAAGCTTGTGAGACGAGTGAGGAGGCATATATAAAGGTATAATCTTGTGAGCTGTACAGAACTGGTCAAACTGCTGTGTTGCATAGCTGCTATGGCTGTCGAGAATCATTAATCGGTATGAACTGACTGTTTGTAAAGCAGTATACTGGTTGTACACGTTTTGAAGCTATTTAAAACCAAGCTTATTATTAGTCTATCTATTCTTACCGACGCTGATATAGTAAGATCTTGGGCAGATCTTGTATCAAATCGATTGGTAATTCTGCGCTGTAAAAATGATCTGTGGTGGTAGAACTAGTCCTAAGGCTGAAACTCCAATAATTGAAGTTATCTATTTGCGATTTTCAGGCTGTATGTACTTTGTTTGTGACTCTTGTGTCTCGAGCCACAGACTATATGTACAGTTAAAGCTATTCTCATCTGGAATCCAGTTTTGTCTATATTCCAGATATCTTTATTAAGAATGCTGGATTTTTGGATTGTGGAATATACTGATTTAAACCACTTCTGAATCAGCTGAGGATTCTTGTATCTAGCACGCTGTAATTATATTTTGAGGTAAATTTAGACTCTAATTTAGAATGATGTTTAACAAAGCGATTAACCCAGTGCTCTGATATAGATCTATCTTGATTTGGCTTTGTTTTTGTATGAAGAAGTAGTTCAGCCGAGAATCGAGTATTGCAGATTCTGAGAGGTAATCCGCGGCGTGCTATGTTATAAATCTATTGTTTTAATGTGCTTTTATCAATTGAGGATAGCTTCTTGTAATCAGTATCTCTTTTAGGACGAGATTTGATGCTATTTAAGCGTTCTTTAAAGGTGCTAATCTTAATATCAAAAGCTGCGGCGCACGCAGCCTTTGTAGAGAATTTTTCGTGTTGAAAAGCCTCAACTGCGAGGGCTATATGTTTATCTTTATCAATTATATCTATTAAATACTAAAAGAACGCGTGATTCGATGATTTGAGCACGTTGTTTGGCTTCAAGATGGTCAAGGTGGTCGAGGATGTTGAGGATCTTGATGGGGCACGCGGAGCTGTCGTGCCGGTTCGGTGTCCGATTACGTTAATGGTATTTACACTATTTAATGTATCAGTCTGCTATTGCTTGTTTATGCATCGATATAGTAGTGAATTTTACCTCTATCAAGTTAGTTGAACTACTTAAGGCAGCTGCTAAAGTGAAATAGGCTAAATAATCAAGATAGCCAATATATAGACCAATCAAAGCTCATACAGCTTACTAAGAATAATGATCGATAACGTAATCGGTAAGCGAGTGGGCATGGCAAGCGAGTGGGCACCCGCGCGCGTCGTCTTCGCGTTCTTGAAATTGAAGCAATTCAACCACCAACAATTCCACCAAATATGCCTCAATCATCAAATCCTTTGGTGGAACGAGAGGGCCGTATCTGCCTCGCTATTGAGGCTATTCAAAATGGCGAAATTTCGCTTGTTAAGGAAGCTGCAAGCGTTTTCAATATTCCGCGTTCAACTCTGCAACGACGCCTTAAGGGAGTCAAAGCACGGTCAGATATACGTGCCAACTCCATGAAATTGACTCTTCTTGAAGAAGAGGCTTTAAAAGATTGGATTCTCTCGCTTGTAAAGCGTGGGCTTCATCCTCGGCCGGCATACGTACGGAATATGGCAACAATCCTTCTCCAAAAACGAAACTCGAATTCCACAGTCTCTGTGGGTGAAAAATGGGTATACAATTTTGTCAAACGTACTTCGGCTTTGAAGACTCAGTTCTCTCGAAGATATCATATCCAACGTGCAAAATGCGAAGATCCGAAGCTTTTAACTGAATGGGTTTGACCGTGTTAAAGCCGCAAAGAGAGTATGGCATTCTTG